TAGTTTCACTTTGAGGACCATAATTTTCTTTTCATTTTTCATTGTTATAGGGGTGTTGACTTATCTAGATGGAGAGACCTCCAAAAAGAGAAAGGAGCTGTGGCAGATATGGAAAAGTTTGTGCAGCATGTACATGGGAATCATTTTATTCCAAATACTGTTTTGGTTGACTGCACAGCTGACTCTAGTATTGCAAGCCATTACTATGACTGGTTGCGGAAAGGAATTCACGTAGTCACTCCCAACAAAAAGGCCAATTCAGGGCCGCTTGATCAAGTAATATGTCTTTTTATACATGCAAATTTCTTTCCAGTGTTGTATCTTTGAGGATATCTAATTGCAAATTCTTGTTTCAGTAGTATGTATAATTCCAATTAACTGAAAAGAACAAGAACATCAACCATTTCTTTACTTAGTTTATCTGCCCAAGTGTGTTTTTGTGGTTTTCATTAATAGTCTTGCATCCAAAACCCATGTATTTGGGATATGTCTCCACAAATTTTTTTTGTTCAAGTTTTATATCTTCCAGTTCTTTATCAATTTATTTATTTTCGCTTTGCTTTGTGTGACTCTTGGTTGTTACTGGTTTCTCTTTGAGATGTGAGCGATGAGTTTTGATTCCTAACACTTGGTTTTTTACATTTAGAGGAGAGACTTCAGTTATACCTTGTCGTCTGAACAAAGTGGTGATAAAAGCAGCTATTTACACATGTTAATTATTCTAATAATCGTGCACAAAAATTTCCAGAAATGTGATGCAATGTTACTATGAATTTGACTCTTTTCTTTTATATAAAAGATCCCAATATTTGTCTTTCGAATTTATTGTGGGGTGTATTCAATTGGGATATTGAGGATTTTATTGGATTTATAAATTTATGGAGTTTAATAGAATTTTTATTCATTTCTAGAGATTCCTTGTGAAATTTGATTGAAATCCCACAAAATTTTCTAGTAGCAATTATACTCAGCTCAGCTGCTATATTTGTTTTTTTTAAGGATTTTATTTTGAGTTCACACTTGGACCTCCATATCTTAGTTTTATCATATTATTTTGTTTGATCTGCTTGCCATGAGTCCCCCTGCAACGTTACCATATACTGACTTGCAAGAAAAAGAGAAATTACTTCTTTTTAACTTTGACTTTGATTAAGTTTCCGTTTAAGAAAAATTTAGAAAAATGTTAATGCATTCTGAGAATGCAATAATAGTGTTCATATCTTGTGTACGTGCATATGTGTGTGTGTGTTTTTTTTTTTGGGTTTAATCGGTTATGACATTGCTTTTCTTCATGCAGTATTTAAAATTACGAGCTCTTCAACGGCAATCATATACACATTACTTCTATGAAGCTACTGTTGGAGCTGGTCTGCCAATTATTAATACATTACAAGGTCTCCTCGAAACTGGAGACAAAATATTGCGTATTGAAGGCATCTTCAGGTTTGTGGAGAACTTTTGATTTATATCTCTCTCTGTGCAAATTGAAAATATTACAAGAGTAGTTCCTCTCTTTTTTAGTGGAGCAATTCCTTTGTTTACACGTAAAATCTTGATGTCTGCAAATGCACACTTCATATGACTTTTAACACTAGTCTTGCTTCTATCATTTGATGTTGCAGTGGTACTCTGAGTTATATCTTCAACAATTTCACTGGAGGACGCACTTTTAGTGAGGTGGTGGCTGAAGCAAAGCAGGCAGGTTATACTGAGCCGGATCCAAGGGATGACCTATCTGGAACAGATGTTTGTAGAAAGGTGCTTGTCCTATTTTTTGTCTGCTTAGTTATGTAGGCTTATAATGTGATGATGTTTCGTCTGTTTAATCAGTTTTACGTCCCCAAATTTTGAATGAGACCCTATAGTTTGCATTGTTGATAAAAGATCAACACCATCTTATTTGGGCCCCGCCCATACTCCAATCTCTGCTTTCTTGATTTTTGCTTCACTGTTTTGTGTGCGATTTGCCACCTGAGTAAAACCATCAAATGCAGGTGATAATTCTTGCTAGGGAATCTGGTCTTAAGCTGGAACTCTCTGACATCCCTGTTGAAAGCCTTGTGCCGGAACCGTTGAAGGTAAAATCATTTTCTAATGTACGTTACCAAGTGCAAAAGCTCACCATTAACAATCAAATTTTGGATGAGATGTTTTCAGGATAGTGCATCAGCCGAGGAATTCATGCAAAAACTTCCACAATTTGATCAAGAGATGAGTAAGAAAAGACAGATAGCTGAGGATGCAGGAGGAGTGAGTATCTCTCATATGCATTTCTTCTCTTATTCCTGTGTGATACCACAATCTTAACCTAGCGATATTTGATCAATATATTAATCAAGTAGTTGTTTAGAAGCTTACTAGCTGTCCATGGACCATTGGACGTTTCTTATAAATATTTGAATCATATCATTCTGGTTTCCTTCGATGATGCATTATTTCTTTACATTATGTTGACATGCGCTATGGATTTTTATTGGCGATAATAGTTTAGAGAATGTGGATATTTTTATTTCCGAGTTCTCTGGGCAGGGATATATAATAATATAGTAGATGACGAGCACTTTCTCCTCTTGTTTTGTATTTTTGTTTCTGATATGTTTAAATGATTCTCATCTTCCTCCTGACTTTTCTTTTTGATATCTGAAGGTCTTGAGATTCGTTGGGGTGGTTGACATGGTCAATCAGAAAGGGGAAGTGAAGCTGCAGACGTACAAGAATGATCATCCATTTGCTCAGCTTTCCGGGGCAGATAATATAATTGCGTTCACAACAACTAGATACAAAGCTCAACCCCTAATAATACGTGGACCTGGTGCTGGCGCTGAAGTCACTGCTGGTGGAGTCTTCAGTGACCTGTTGCGGCTTGCTTCATACCTTGGTGCCCCATCATAGGTGGGAAGCCCATAGCCCGAAGATTGAAATATGGTGTAACACAGCCCGAGTAGTGTAGCTTTTTGAGATGCGGATCTGTTGTGGCTCCTGAGAAGTGTAAGTGTAGCTTCTTGATATGAGGAATAGTTATGACCTGCTAGGGATTTGGGGGTATATAATTGTCGTTCATTCGGTAGTGTTTAAGCGGATGCAAACACGTTAGTTGTCTCCTGAAACGAAACCGTCTCAAATCCTTTATGTACGGAACTAAAAAGAGAAATAATAAAAATCATGGTTTTCAATACATGACCCTGATTGTGTTTAAAGCAGTACTTTGACATGTACTGAGATAAACGAGTTGCTCCTCTCAGTTGATCTTAGGACTGAGGTAAAACTTTGGATCTCTGAAAAACCTTGAAAGCACTTGTGCCTTGTCAGCTGAGAGGTCTGTGTTTTCCATAATGTGCTCCCTTGATGCCTTGGCAATTCCTTCAATCGATCCGATAGCCTGGTTAAGCTGAACAAATTACCCAGAATAAGAAACCAACGTATGATTATATGATTCAATTTCGTTCATTAGGATGAGTTAAGTACCGCATTTGCATCATGATTGTCAATGCCCGGAATGGCTGTGATCACTTTTTGAAATATGCCTGGTGTTTGCACTGTTTGCTTCCTCTTCTCCAACAAAATTGAATAAAATGGGGATGTTTTGAGGTCCTAACTCCTAAGAACCAAAGCATTCTACATAAATATGGTCAAAATTTACACTAACCTCAGCCTTCATTTTGTTGTGGCATCCTCTCGCTTGCACACTGTAATTAGTGTTTGCTTAAGAGTCTTAGACAAATTACTGGGAAAACAATTCATGATTAAGGTAAGTGAGCTTGGAGAAGATTTTATTACCCCCACGAGAATGAGCTATTTTCGTTATCTTCTCAAACCCCATTTCCAAGTCCTTAACCAGAACGAACGTTGGCTTGCCGAGTTCCATCCCGAATCTTCACAGATTGAAAAACCATTTGTATCGTTTTGACATATCAAACATCAATTGGACATAAGTTTCTTTCAAGTTTTGACATAGCTCACTTGAAGTAAGAACGAACAAACAAATCGTTTTGCTCCTTGGTTGGGAGCGTGATGACAACGTATAGATTTGCAAATTGCAGTTTCAGCTTCTGAACTCTGTACAAATAATAAAATTGATCACGTCAAACACAAAACACAAGCACACACGCATGCAAGAGGCACCGAAAAACTGAAAGCAATTAATTTGTTCACCTGCCGAAGAATTGCGAGATGGTACCGGAGTCCAAGCTAGTCATGAAAATGAATGCCACAGATGAACCCCCACAGTTGAAAATGAAGTCCTGCAATGTAAATCCAACCATTAGATGCACCAAAATTATTTTCTTTTCAGTTCTTTTGTCCTTTTAGCATGAGATCATATGATTAAATTGAAGGAAATTACGGGGGTAATTGGGACAAAGTTGAGGCGGAAAGAGTTTGCGGTGAGGAAAGCGGAGACGAAGTTGATGAAGGACGGATGTTGTTCGTCCCTCCATGTATTGCTCATCATACAAACCCCACCACCACCACCACCTGCAATCACAATCCAACATTTAAGATTTCTTCACTCCATTAATTTTACCATTTCCAGCACAAATCAATCGTAATCTTTCTAATCGAAATTCTAATCAAATGGTTAACCTAAACAATAAAATTATCCAGAATTTGTATCAAACAGATAATTGCTCCACTGGAAAATGATCGAATTCAGACTAATTCAAATTAAGAACTCAGTTTCTAAATTTTCCGAGGAAAAATGAGAGGGGTGAATTGATGAATCGGTGAAAAGTAAAAGGAAAAGTACCTGAATTCATGGATTTTTGTGGAAATTGAGCTGTTTCTTTCACGTTCGCCATTCCCCAGAGCTCCCCCAGAGAGAGAGAGAGAGAGAGAGAGAGAGCAAAGGGAGATTCGAGCGAAGCGGGAAAATTGAGGCGGTTTGTAATGTGGAACTGTTTTGTAACGTAATATTAGCTGCGGTAGTTGTCTCTATTTACGAAAAGTGCCACAAGAAAGTGGGCCAGGCCCATCTCACATTCAGCCCAAATTTCCAACGACTTGTCCTGCTTCGTCTCTTGTTATCTAACTTGAGACATTCAGAGAGAGATAATGGAGTCCTCGGCTGCTTCCTCACTCTCCGGTACAGCGTCCTCAAATTCGCCTTCCAAACGCCTTTTGTTCGACCGCCGTTACGGTTGGGTGTAAGTCTCTCTCTCTCTCTCTCTGTCTCTCTCTCCAAACGTAATTAATTAAGCGTGAAATAATTAGGATTAATTTTCAGAATTGATGAATTGAAAGACACATCAGAGGAAGCTCTTGCCGGTGGCCGAGGGATGTATGTTTTTTTATTTTTTATTGTCTTGAAATACTTTAGCTTGAAACCCACTGGTTGGTTAGTGAGAAACAAGACGAAAAAGAATTGGGATATAATTGGAAGTAATGAATTTATACCTGTTGGAAAAACAGATTGGAAATTTTTGTACCATGCTTGTGGATTTACTTGTGGTTTGGTTCAGGTTTTGCATACTGCCGCTTGCAAAAACTTTGATCAAGATGGCTTCCCAATCGGTATGATGATGAATTTCCTGCCCCTAAATATCCTAAATTACGCGGTTAATCATTACGTCTTTGGCAATTATATAGTTCCGTTGCACATTTTCACTTGTGGGACTGGCACTTGCTTTTTGTATGATAGCATTTGCATAACACATTTGGGACTGAAGCTTGTATTTTTGTATGATCAAGGATGCTTTACTTTTTGGTTAAGGATCAAGTATGATTTTAAGTTTTGACTGAATGGAACGATGCTTTAGACTCAAACAAAAACTGACCCAACAGAATGAATCAATAGTGCTTTATATTCTGTCAGCATTTGCTTTTATAGCATGTTGCTGTTTCCATTGAGCTAGAGAGTTTCACCGACCCATCATCATGCATTAGTAGGTTCACCGTAGAAATTTTCTCAGCAGAAAATAAAAAAGGTGTGGCTTTGCAAGATAAAAAGCATGAAGTTCACCTTGTTTGCAGGCTGGGCAGTGGTAGACCTAAATTGTAGCAAGTACATGATGTTCAACCCTTCTGGAGTCGTTAGATAGTGGTCATCAAGAGAATACATGTTAAGCAGATGATACCTAAAGTATAAACCGAGTAGCAGTCACTAGACTTTTGCATATGTTTCCTTTCTCGTATTTTATGTGGATACAGTTGTCCTAGTTGGGATAGAAAATGGCAGGTTGCAGATACATATAAGTACGTTTTAATAATATGTTCCTATATATTCAAGATCTTGTTGGGTTCTAAAATTATGATATCTGTTTATTTGTTATATTTTAGGTCCTTAAATACTATATATATGTGCCTTGTATGTATTTCGTGTTCACTGTAAAAATTCTATTCAGTTGCTTGCCTTATGGCGAATTCTTCCAGCAAAGCTTTGTAGAAATGACCCGTCTTATGTAGATTGGCTCGTTCTCTGCTTCTTAGGCCATGGGATATAGAAAATGTTAGATATTTGATTGTTATGTTACTGAACATGAAAAAACATTCCATTCAACAATTCTCTGATGCTGAAAGAATGATAAATTTTAATTTGTCCTAGGACTTTCCCTTGTTGCCTTACAGATTAATGCTGCAGCAAACTCAGCAGTGAAAGCTTTTGAAAGGCCAGACCTGCTTTCTCCGCAGCAACTGCAAGCGGGTCTTTACAACGAGCTTCACAAAATTAAGTCTTCTTTGGTAAAACCGGAATTCAACCATTTGTTACTCAAAGGAAATCTCTCGTCAAAAGAGGCCAGTTGCTCTTCTAGTAAATCATAGATGACTTAGAATGAATTGATTTCTTGAATCCCACACTGGAATACAGTCCAGAACTACTTTAAGTCAGTCGATTTAGATAGTGTTTTTCAGGTTGTTAGGGTCAGCATTGTATCTTGTACGAAATGATATGGCGTTGTCGATTTGATTATTGTGAACCTTGTCTCACTGTTCCGCTTTATACATCGGAGGTGAACGTGATTTTAAGTATCCGGTTGATCATTCTTAAGCTGAATTGACTAGCTTCGGTTTGGTGGTATAGAAGCGTTTGGCCATGAAGGAACCTAAGGAACAATTAGAGCATTTGTGGACTCGAACTTGGTTTCCAACGATCCAACTGCGAACGAAAAACCAATTAAAGCATTTTCGGACTCGAACTTGATCTCCAACTATCCAAATGCGAACGAAAAACGGGTCGTAGTCCAGATTTGAGAACAAAGAAACCATCCATGGTCCATCAAGATTAAGAAAATGGGTTGTAATAATGGTAATTACGAAGAAAAGACATGTCAATTGGTACTTAAACGTGGCGATCAAACCACGGCCCTGCCCATTGTCACATCATCCACCCCACCACCGCCGATTCCTACCTTCCTCTTTAATTAATATTTCTACTTGCGCAATCCAACGTTTCCCAACCTTTGAAGCTTTCAAGTGGAAGGCAGAGTTTATCTCCCATGTCTTCCGTAATCAAGCCTTCATCTTCAAGTAATGCTGCCCATGTTCTTACTTAATCACCTTTTGTTTCCTTGGTCATAATTTGTGCTTGCATGTTAGTTACCTTTTGTTAATGGCGGCGGCAGCAGCAGCAGGAGGTATTAAAGTTTTCACAAGAAGAAGATTTAAGACTAATAAGCGTTTGGAACAAAGAGATGATGAGATAAAAAACAAGATTGCAGAGTTGGAGCCAAAGAATTTTCAAAGCGTGGCTTCTTCTTCTGCTACTCCTTGGTAATTAATTAATTAACTACTTTAATTACTACTCCAATCTCCCCCTTTTTCGATTAATTACTGGCTAGTAGTTTAGTTTTGACCCCAGGAGCACACAGATTACAACACAAGGTAAATGTCATTAATTCATGCATGCATGCTGAATCGTTGCTGTTGTACGCAGATTACAAACAAGATATGTTGTATAATATATTTGTTAGTTTTTTTTTTTTTTTTTTTTTTTATAATTATCTTGTTAAAAGCTCAAGCTAGCTATTTGCGGATTAACTGTTGTTTAATTGTTGTTGTTTTCGCTTACTATTAGTTTAATTAAAGAAATGGAGGGAAGGGCAGTAGGCTGCCACAGCAGTTAGGAACATTCGCCTTCGGGTTTGAGGGTCCTACGTTTTTCTACTACGAAGAGCTAATATCGTATAATCCTCTGTTTTGTTTAGAATAAATAAATGATTGTTGCTGTTTTTAAGAGAAGATGTAATTAGGATTGCTGTTTTTTATGTCGTTATGAGGCTTACTTGTCTGTCAAACAAGAAGGAATAATTTGCTCACAACGATCGTATCTCTTCCTTTGCATCCCTCAATGTTACTCACTCTCGAGTCTCGATCATGGTTACCTAAACTAAAATAGTACCTAATAGTTGTATAATTCAATTTAGGTTCAGTTCCAACACAAATGTTGAAGAAATGGGACCAGCAGCAGATGGTAATGACATCTTCTGTAGCTATGTTGATGACTGCTCTGCAACTCCTACTCGTGTCACTGATGTATCAACTGCGCCGGATAAATCTACGTCTAAGAAGAGAGGCTACAATGCCATTTACTTGAGGCACAAGCAACCGAAGAGAGTCAGAATACAAATGGAAGATAAATCCAAAGGAGAAATAATTATTGGTGGCAAGCGCACGAAATCTCCAAAACCTGTAAAATTGAAAGAAACTAGGTCATCCAAGTGTGCTACTGCTCAAAAGTTGCCCAATGTTGGATGTTATAACAGAGTTTCTGTTCGAAAAGTACAAAACGATACACAAGCTCAATCCATGAAACAAGATCAGAAGGCACATGGAGATATTTTAGGAAAGCGCAATAAATCTGTTCATCGAGTAGGGCCTTCTGATTCTACCCTGCGATGGCATGCACAACCTCAGATTGATTGGAGCAAAGATGTATCCGACAATATTAAAGACAAGGAGGAATGGTGGGAAGAAGAAACCAAACTGTTCTGTAAACGAGCAAATTCTTTCATTGCCTGCATGAATCAAGTCCAAGGTGGCAAATGGATTTTTTGAATCCAAGCATATATATGCAATTTTTTAGAAGTTGATTAGTTAATTTTCCAAGCCTTTTCTCATAGCACAGTGTTAACTTTTGCAGGAAATAGACATTTCTCAGCGTGGAGAGGTTCCATAGTGGACTCGGTTGTTGGGGCATTTTTAACTCAAAATGCTAAAGATCAGTCATCAAGGTAAGATGTTATTACTCCTTGATCTGCTTATATTGTCCTATGGAAAACGGTAAATGTGGACCTCTTGTTGGTGTGCAGTTCTGCCTTTATGTCACTTGCTGCAAAATATCCGACTATTCAAAAGGAGCAAGCATGTGATTATGCAAGGAACGAAAAAAATGTGAGAAGCATTGTTGGTTGGGATTTTTTAGAGTACATTTATTACACCAGAGGAACAACAAAAGAGAGAAGTAATGATACAATGGACTCTTTAGACTGGGAAGCTGTTAGAGAAGCACCTCTAACTGAAATTTCAAAAAGCATTTTCGGAAGAGGAATGAACAATAAGCTCGCAGAACGCATCAAGGTAAAACTTGTGGTGATTGAGAACAGGTTAGGTTGATGAATTCCATTTGAAAAATGTCAATATATGTTTGCACTCAACTTTTCAGGGTTTCCTTGATATACTGAAGAGAGATCATGACAGCATTGATCTCGAATGGTTAAGAGATGCCCCCCCGGAAGGAGTGAGGTAAGCTCATTGAAGAGACAAATATTATTTTACATAATTAAATGTTCAAAGGAATGTGGATATTTAAGGTTTCCCTATTATGCAGGAAGTATCTGTTGAGCATAGATGGAATTGGCTTGAAATGCGTTGAGTGTGTGCGGCTTTTAGCACTGAAGCAGCGTGCCTTCCCAGTAAGAAATTGAAGTAGCATGAATCAGAAGTACAGAGCTTCATTCTGCCGCTTGATAATTTTCTTTTATATCTTCTGTTGCATTAGGTTGATACTAATGTTGCTCGGATAGTTGTGCGACTTGGTTGGATCCCTATTCAGCCATTGCATTGGAAGCTTCAACATCATCATCTAAAGAGGTCAGAATATAACACATAAGTAGAGAGAGAATTTCGATTGAGGGATCCTTCAAATAATGTGAAACTAGAACCTTCAGATCGTACTTGAACATCTAACATTCTTTCTGCGTAGGTACTCGACTGGTAAATTCAATACATAAATATATTTGGCCAAGGCTGTCTGCCCTTGACCTACAAACACTGTATGGCTTTTTGTTTCTAAGAGATGAACAAACATTATATGATTTCTTTTGACGATTCAATATAATCTCCGTGCCATAAAATTGTTGCTTTCCAGTTTACAGAATGTATTAAGACAAATATTACTGATTGATTAGAGTACTAATCTTCGACAGGTATGAATTACATTGCCAAATGATTACATGCGGCAAGGTATACATCTTGTTCATTCAACCTCTTTTACACGAAAAGAATATATATTTTGCTGTATTCCTTGTTTCTCCGTCATCACATTCTCAGTTGGTACTTGTACAGGTTTTCTGTAGAAAAAATCAACCAAATTGCAACGCATGTCCGATGAGAGAAGAGTGCCAACACTTTGCAAGGTTTCATCTCTCGTTCTTTGCTCAATTATTTATATCTTCTACTTATTTTTTGGACATAATTAGAATCATTTAGATTCATTTTGCAAAGGAAAAAGAAAGAGAAATCAACCTGGCAATTGAGCAGTATTACGTTGTTCGATAGTCTACGAATCTATGCAATGTGACATATTTTTGCTATAACGTATAAGTTGATCTTCTCTTCAGGTATAGTTTCACAGTATCTTTTGATTCTAATGTGTCGCAAAACTCATTATCCAACGTTCATGACATGGGATATTAGACTTCCCATGTTTGACTAAAAAAATTAAAATCATACGGTGCTTCTATGTTAATGATATTTCAAGTAACAAATATGTTTCATGAAGTGCAAGGAGTGAAGGGGACATTGAAGATTTGTGCGTAAAGGTTCACGATAAGAATCTTACAATCAAAGTCAATCCTAAACGGTGTAAAATTGTAAAGGCTGATCATACACAAAGTAAGCAGAAGTGTTTCGACCGAACAAGTGAGTCGCTTCAAGAAGGTGTCATGTCAAAATCTAGTGCTCCAGTTCCAACTAGTCGCAGCACCCAGATCGAAGCGCATGAGCCAATTTAGGACAAAGCATCAAGTGTAAGCAACATTTATTAACCTAAAATAGTTTTGACTTTCGTAGGGTGAGATATGAATGAGGTTTTTATGAGCTTATATTAATCTTCGAAAGAAATTGTTACGTAGTACGTACAACTGTAATTTAAACTTTAAAAGTTCATATATGTACTGATAAAAGTATATTCAACTGCAGCTTAGAACTTCCAGACGCTCACCACATTTTGAAAGGGGTTAGAATCTCAAGCATTCTTACTCTAAAGCTTTATACTGGCATATATGTCGATGTATTTGACTTCCAGACACTGGTATATATTTTTTTTCCATGAAAAACAAATGCAGCTAGAGAGAAGAGAACCTGATGATCCCTGCCCTTACCTTCTTGTTGTATGGTCATCTGGTAAGAGCGATTAGCCAATTGTTGTGTCTGGTTGTATTTTAATCTTCCAAAAGTATGCAGTCCTTGAACCGACATTGGTGTGATGGTGTTGTTTGTGCAACTATTGATTCAGGTAAACTATCCAATCCTGTTGGATCAACTGAAGGTCAAACCACTTGCTCTGATGAGAATGGACAATTTTTGGGCGGCAATGGTGCAGACACTGCCCAGACTGTTCTAGGAACAATTTTGGTGAGGAGAACCCATAACCCTCGGCATGTATTTTAAGTTTTAACCTGCATTTTTTCATATGCCAAAACTACAAAAGATAACAAAAACTAACCTCATACAGATACCATGTCGCACGGCAATGCGAGGAACTTTTCCTCTCAACGGAACATACTTTCAAGCTAATGAGGTAAAGCCTATTTCTTTTCTCATCTAGACTTAACATTTATTTAGGAAGTATATTATTTGAACTATCCAAACTGGTATGATGAAATAATAATATGAACAACAGGTGCTAGCTGATTATAAAACAAGTGAAAACCCAATCGATGTTCCTGTGTCATCGATACAACATTTGAGGAGACGAACACTATATTGTGGAAACAGTGTTTCGGGAATGTTTATAGGTATATGTATGTGTTTTGGAATTGATTACAGTGGTTGGAAAATTTTGCTTGTTAGCTTACATTCTCCGTACCAGGTTTATTGACCAAAGAAATCCGGGACAGCTTTAAGAAAAGTATGATGTGGAACATTAATTTGCATGTAACACTTAAAAGTGAATGTATGTGGTTCCTTGCTACAGACGGCGAAATAATGCAGTTGCTGATAAAATTAGTAATTATGTTTTGCAGGGTTCATTTGTGTGAGAGGGTTTGACCAAAAAACCAGGGAGCCGAAACCTTTAGCAAGAAGATTACACCGCAGCTAATCTTCTGAATATGTTCAGAAGATTACAAGAAAGGAGAACGTCCGAACACCGGCCTGCTGCTGTTGCTGCTGCTATTTTGGAATATGATCAGATTGCAATTCCATCATCAGTTGTACTTGTGAAGCTTGCTAGTACTGTGTATCCACAATCCAGCTTTTGTTTGTGCTTGGAATTGATGTGGTGGTCGGATTGCAGATGGACAATTAATCAGTATTAGTAAAGACTAATTTTGTTTACCAGACGCTCACCACATTTTGAAAGGGGTTAGAATCTCAAGCATTCTTGCTCTAAAGCTTTATACTGGCATATATGTCGATGTATTTGACTTCCAGACACTGGTATATATTTTTTTTCCATGAAAAACAAATGCAGCTAGAGAGAAGAGAACATGATGATCCCTGCCCTTACCTTCTTGTTGTATGGTCATCTGGTAAGAGCGATTAGCCAATTGTTGTGTCTGGTTGTATTTTAATCTTCCAAAAGTATGCAGTCCTTGAACCGACATTGGTGTGATGGTGTTGTTTGTGCAACTTTTGATTCAGGTAAACTATCCAATCCTGTTGGATCAACTGAAGGTCAAACCACTTACTCTGATGTGAATGGACAATTTTTGGGCGGCAATGGTGAAGACATTGCCCAGACTGTTCTAGGAACAATTTTGGTGAGGAGAACCCATAACCCTCGGCATGTATTTTAAGTTTTAACCTGCATTTTTTCATATGCCAAAACTACAAAAGATAACAAAAACTAACCTCATGCAGATACCATGTCGCACGGCAATGCAAGGAACTTTTCCTCTCAACGGAACATACTTTCAAGCTAATGAGGTAAAGCCTATTTCTTTTCTCATCTAAACTTAACATTTATTTAGGAGTATATTATTTGAACTATCCAAACTGGTATGATGAAATAATAATATGAACAACAGGTGCTAGCTGATTATAAAACAAGTGAAAACCCAATCGATGTTCCTGTGTCATCGATACAACATTTGAGGAGACGAACACTATATTGTGGAAACAGTGTTTCGGGAATGTTTATAGGTATATGTATGTGTTTTGGAATTGATTACAGTGGTTGGAAAATTTTGCTTGTTAGCTTACATTCTCCGTACCAGGTTTATTGACCAAAGAAATCTGGGACTGCTTTAAGAAAGGTATGATGTGGAACATTAATTTGCATGTAACACTTAAAAGTGAATGTATGTGGTTCCTTGCTACAGACGGCGAAATAATGCAGTTGCTGATAAAATTAGTAATTATGTTTTGCAGGGTTCATTTGTGTGAGAGGGTTTGACCGGAAAACCAGGGAGCCGAAACCTTTAGCAAGAAGATTACACCGCAGCTAATCTTCTGAATATGTTCAGAAGATTACAAGAAAGGAGAACGTCCGAACACAGGCCTGCTGCTGTTGCTGCTGCTATTTTGGAATATGATCAGATTGCAATTCCATGAGCAATGGTACTTGTGAAGCTTGCTAGTACTGTGTATCCACAATCCAGCTTTCGTTTGTGCTTGGAATTGATGTGGTGGTCGGATTGCAGATGGACAATTAATCAGTATTAGTAAAGACTAATTTTGTTTACCAGACGCTCACCACATTTTGAAAGGGGTTAGAATCTCAAGCATTCTTGCTCTAAAGCTTTATACTGGCATATATGTCGATGTATTTGACTTCCAGACACTGGTATACATTTTTTTTTCCATGAAAAACAAATGCAGCTAGAGAGAAGAGAACCTGATGATCCCTGCCCTTACCTTCTTGTTGTATGGTCATCTAGTAAGAACGATTAGCCAATTGTTGTGTCTGGTTGTATTTTAATCTTCCAAAAGTATGCAGTGCTTGAACCGACATTGGTGTGATGGTGTTGTTTGTGCAACTTTTGATTCAGGTAAACTATCCAATCATGTTGAATCAACTGAAGGTCAAACCACTTGCTCTGATGAGAATTGACAATTTTTGGGCGGCAATGGTGAAGACACTGCCCAGACTGTTCTAGGAACAATTTTGGTGAGGAGAGCCCATAACCCTCGGCATGTATTTTAAGTTTTAACCTGCATTTTTTCATATGCCAAAACTACAAAAGATAACAAAAACTAACCTCATACAGATACCATGTCGCACGGCAATGCGAGGAACTTTTCCTCTTAACGGAACATACTTTCAAGCTAATGAGGTAAAGCCTATTTCTTTTCTCATCTAAACTTAACATTTATTTCGGAAGTATATTATTTGAACTATCCAAACTGGCATGATGAAATAATAATATGAACAACAGGTACTAGCTGATTATAAAACAAGTGAAAACGCAATCGATGTTCCTGTGTCATCGATACAACATTTGAGGAGACGAACACTATATTGTGGAAACAGTGTTTCGGGAATGTTTATAGGTATATGTATGTGTTTTGGAATTGATTACAGTGGTTGGAAAATTTTGCTTGTTAGCTTACATTCTCCGTTCCAGGTTTATTGACCAAAGAAATCTGGGACTGCTTTAAGAAAGGTATGATGTGGAACATTAATTTGCATGTAACACTTAAAAGTGAATGTATGTGGTTCCTTGCTACAGACGGCGAAATAATGCAGTTGCTGATAAAATTAGTAATTATGTTTTGCAGGGTTCATTTGTGTGAAAGGGTTTGACCGAAAACCAGGGAGCCGAATGCTTTAGCAAGAAGATTACACCGCAGCTAATCTTCTGAATATGTTCAGAAGATTACAAGAAAGGAGAACGTCCGAACACCAGCCTGCTGCTGTTGCTACTGCTATTTTGGAATATGATCAGATTGCAATTCCATCAGCAATTGTACTTGTGAAGCTTGCTAGTACTGTGTATCCACAATCCAGCTTTCGTTTGTGCTTGGAATTGATGTGTTGGTCGGATTGCAGATGGACAATGAATCAGTATTAGCAAAGACTAATTTTGTTTACCAGACGCTCACCACATTTTGAAAGGGGTTAGAATCTCAAGCATTCTTGCTCTAAAGCTTTATACTGGCATATATGTCGATGTATTTGACTTCCAGACACTGGTATATATATTTTTTTTCCATGAAAAACAAATGCAGCTAGAGAGAAGAGAACCTGATGATCCCTGCCCTTACCTTCTTGTTGTATGGTCATCTGGTAAGAGCAATTAGCCAATTGTTGTGTCTGGTTGTATTTTAATCTTCCAAAAGTATGCAGTCCTTGAACCGACATTGGTGTGATGGTGTTGTTTGTGCAACTTTTGATTCAGGTAAACTATCCAATCCTGTTGGATCAACTGAAGGTCAAACCACTTGCTCTGATGAGAATGGACAATTTTTGGGCGGCAATGGTGAAGACACTGCCCAGACAGTTCTAGGAACAATTTTGGTTAGGAGAACCTATAACCCTTGGCATGTATTTTAAGTTTTAACCTGTATTTTTTCATATGCCAAAACTACAAAAGATAACAAAAACTAACCTCATACAGATACCATGTCGCACGGCAATGCGTGGAACTTTTCCTCTCAACGGAACATACTTTCAAGCTAATGAGGTAAAGCCTATTTATTTTCTCATCTAAACTTAACATTTATTTAGGAAGTATATTATTTGAACTATCCAAACTAGTATGATGAAATAATAATATGAACAACAGGTGCTAGCTGATTATAAAACAAGTGAAAACCCAATCGATGTTCCTGTGTCATCGATACAACATTTGAGGAGACGAACACTATATTGTGGAAACAGTGTTTCGGGAATGTTTATAGGTATATGTATGTGTTTTGGAATTGATTACAGTGGTTGGAAAATTTTGCTTGTTAGCTTACATTCTCCGTACCAGGTTTATTGACCAAAGAAATACGGGACTGCTTTAAGAAAGGTATGATGTGGAACATTAATTTGCATGTAACACTTAAAAGTGAATGTATGTGGTTCCTTGCTACAGACGGCGAAATAATGCAGTTGCTGATAAAATTAGTAATTATGTTTTGCAGGGTTCATTTGTGTGAGAGGGTTTGACCGGAAAACCAGGGAGCCGAAACCTTTAGCAAGAAGATTACACCGCAGCTAATCTTCTGAATATGTTCAGAAGATTACAAGAAAGGAGAACGTCCGAACACCGGCCTGCTGCTGTTGCTGCTGCTATTTTGGAATATGATCAGATTGCAATTCCATCAGCAGTTGTACTTGTGAAGCTTGCTAGTACTGTATATCCACAATCCAGCTTTCGTTTGTGCTTGGAATTGATGTGGTGGTCGGATTGCAGATGAACAATTAATCAGTATTAGTAAAGACTAATTTTGTTGGACTTAAACTTTCCTAATTTCTTATGTCTCGTAAGAATGAATGATACTTATTTTTGGTGGATCATTGACTAGCCTTGGTTTGGTCTGCTAAAAATATGACAGATCTTAATTGTATTGCTTAAGTGAGGTTTCGTTGGATAAGCACTAATCAATGAGATTGATCTACATAAAAGAAAGTAACCCTCGGCATGTATTTTAAGTTTTAACCTACATTTTTTCATATGCCAAAACTACAAAAGATAACAAAAACTAACCTCATACAGATACCATGTCGCACGGCAATGCGAGGAACTTTTCCTCTCAACGGAACATACTTTCAAGCTAATGAGGTAAAACCTATTTCTTTTCTCATCTAAACTTAACATTTATTTAGGAAGTATATTATTTGAACTATCCAAACTGGTATGCTGAAATAATAATATGAACAACAGGTGCTAGCTGATTATAAAACAAGTGAAAACCCAATCGATGTTCCTGTGTCATCGATACAACATTTGAGGAGACGAACACTATATTGTGGAAACAGTGTTTCAGGAATGTTTATAGGTATATGTATGTGTTTTGGAATTGATTACAGTGGTTGGAAAATTTTGCTTGTTAGCTTACATTCTCCGTACCAGGTTTATTGACCAAAGAAATCCGGGACTGCTTTAAGAAGGGTATGATGTGGAACATTAATTTGCATGTAACACTCAAAAGTGAATGTATGTGGTTCCTTGCTACAGACGGCAAAATAATGCAGTTGCTGATAAAATTAGTAATTATGTTTTGCAAGGTTCATTTGTGTGAGAGGGTTTGATCGGCAAACCAGGGAGCTGAAACCTTTAGCAAGAAGATTGAAGATTACAAGAAAGGAGAACGTCCGAACACCGGCCTGCTGCTGTTGCTGCTGCTATTTTGGAATATGATCAGATTGCAATTCCATCAGCAGTTGTACTTGTGAAGCTTGCTAGTACTTTGTATCCACAATCCAGCTTTCGTTTGTGCTTGGAATTGATGTGGTGGTCGGATTGCAGATGAACAATTAATTAGTATTAGTAAAGACTAATTTTGTTGGACTTAAACTTTCCTAATTTCTTATGTCTCGTAAGAATGAATGATACTTATTTTTGGTGGATCATTGACTAGCCTTGGTTTGGTCTGCTAAAAATATGACAGATCTCAATTGTATTGCTTAAGTGAGGTTTCGTTGGATAAGCACTAATCAATGAGATTGATCTACATAAAAGAAAGTAACCCTCGGCATGTATTTTAAGTTTTAACCTGCATTTTTTCATATGCCAAAACTACAAAAGATAACAAAAACTAACCTCATACAGATACCATGTCGCACGGCAATGCGAGGAACTTTTCCTCTCAACGGAACATACTTTCAAGCTAATGAGGTAAAGCCTATTTCTTTTCTCATCTAAACTTAACATTTATTTAGGAAGTATATTATTTGAACTATCCAAACTGGTATGATGAAATAATAATATGAACAACAGGTGCTAGCTGATTATAAAACAAGTGAAAACCAATCGATGTTCCTGTGTCATCGATACAACATTTGAGGAGACGAACACTATAATGTGGAAACAGTGTTTCAGGAATGTTTATAGGTATATGTATGTGTTTTGGAATTGATTACAGTGGTTGGAAAATTTTGCTTGTTAGCTTACATTCTCCGTACCAGGTTTATTGACCAAAGAAATCCGGGACTGCTTTAAGAAAGGTATGATGTGGAACATTAATTTGCATGTAACACTTAAAAGTGAATGTATGTGGTTCCTTGCTACAGACGGCGAAATAATGCAGTTGCTGATAAAATTAGTAATTATGTTTTGCAGGGTTCATTTGTGTGAGAGGGTTTGACCGGAAAACCAGGGAGCCGAAACCTTTAGCAAGAAGATTGAAGATTACAAGAAAGGAGAACGTCCGAACACCGGCCTGCTGCTGTTGCTGCTGCTATTTTGGAATATGATCAGATTGCAATTCCATCAGCAGTTGTACTTGTGAAGCTTGCTAGTACTGTGTATCCACAATCCAGCTTTCGTTTGTGCTTGGAATTGATGTGGTGGTCGGATTGCAGATGAACAATTAATCAGTATTAGTAAAGACTAATTTTGTTGGACTTAAACTTTCCTAATTTCTTATGTCTCGTAAGAATGAATGATACTTATTTTTGGTGGATCATTGACTAGCCTTGGTTTGGTCTGCTAAAAATATGACAGATCTCAATTGTATTGCTTAAGTGAGGTTTCGTTGGATAAGCACTAATCAATGAGATTGATCTACATAAAAGAAAGTAACCCTCGGCATGTATTTTAAGTTTTAACCTGCATTTTTTCATATGCCAAAACTACAAAAGATAACAAAAACTAACCTCATACAGATACCATGTCGCACAGCAATGCGAGGAACTTTTCCTCTCAACGGAACATACTTTCAAGCTAATGAGGTAAATCCTATTTCTTTTCTCATCTATACTTAACATTTATTTAGGAAGT